TAGTGTGAGGGATTGCTGAAGAGTCAATGAGTCGATGCAATCAGCTGGTTTTCCTTAGATAGAAAACTTTGAATCAATCTGACTGGATGATCTGGTTGTTTTGTTTCTATAAAGTGACCTGAGATGACATGATGTGAATTGGAGCTATAGAAATAGACTGAATAGAATTAAATATACATCCGGGTCGCCCTGGATTTACTTTGCAAAATAGACCTAAATTATTTTTTTCCCTTGCCAAAAATAGTACTAAACTGTAATGTTTTAAAGGTTAATAATGTATTTCCTGAGAAAATAAAAGCCTTTAAATATTTTCTGTTCTATTCCCTGTTCCTGATCTGTACAGGAAATGGATGCTACGCTACTTCCAGGAGCTAACTTTATCAGCTTTGGATTGAAACATAAATCTAGTCTTTTTTACTTTTCTGTGTTTCTTTCGTGTTAACATTATGCTATATAGTGCATAATCTAAAGAAAGAAACAACTAAAATGGAGATAAACATGATTTAATCAGATTTAGCTGGACTGCTCTGATGTCCCATGATGACGTCAGAGAAGCTGTTTAATGGAGAAAATGTCCTAAAAATGTTTTTTAGACGTGTATTATCATTATTTAGTGATTCAAGGATAGAAATAAGTGCTTCTAGAACCATAATTAGATTTCTTATGGTGACCTGGATGAATGTCTTTGTGCAAATAAGTCGATGGTACGGATCATGCTATTGACTCTGATCAGGTAGTAACTAGCTCTACTCTTATATGCAGGTCTATGGCCGCCCCTTCTGCAGCAGGGAAGACCTGCATAAGTATGGATACCCTCTGCTGGTTGGCTGTTATTAGAAAATTGAAAAAAAAATGTAAGCATATGATATCAGTCATCAATCAGGTGGAACAAACTGTAATGTAATGTTGGCATTGCGTGTGTTTATGAAGCTCTCATTCGTTTAATTTAGTTTTCTGCTTTGCTTCAAATGATGCTGCTGTGTGATTGGGCGGAGCTGTATAATAATAAAAGGTTTATACTCTCATAGGGAGGAAACACCAAAAATGAAACATGAGTTTATGTTTATATCCACTGCTTTTCACCTGCTAACATAAACAATTAATCATTAGCCAATTATTAATGCTTGGTTTGTTGGAAATATTCTAAACATTTAGAGACTTTCCTTCATAGCCTGATAGACTGAAAGGTAGTTTAGATTTTTAAACCTGTGTTTGAATCCAGTTTAATCAGATTTAATGAATTTTAGCTCTGAATATTTTCTTTATAATCATAAATGGATTGTCCTTCCTTTACCCTCCAACATTACGTCTTTCTCCTGTGTTTGTCTTTCCAGACCTCCTGCAGGTTGGAAAAGAGGAGGATTTCTTTGAGCAGCAGCTCTGGAAACAGGAGAGGAATTCCAGTTTGGACCAAGAGGAACCAGAACCTCTGCAGATGAAAGAAGAGCAGCTAAAGCCAGAAGATCCCTGGACTAAAGAGGAAACCATGGAGCTCCCCATCAGTGAGCAGGAGGAGCAGCAGGAGGCTGGAGGTTAGAGATGAACTGATTCAGGCTTTTTAAGGCCGATCTTTAACT